GGAAAATGTGTGTTGTTATTAAAGTTAGAAAACACGGCTCACTCACTGTGTGTATATGGGGTGTGTGTACGTTAAACACGACAAGTTTATGACAGTTGTAGATGAACAGGAAATACAGTGGTGTAGATAGATTAAGTATGTAAGTAGTTTGATGGTTGTTACATGAATAAATTGATGGTTCGGTTGTGGAGATGGATAAGATGATGGAATATGTTTCATTTTCATTTCTTTGGATCAGTCTTAATGAGTGTGTTGATAAGTGGGTTTAGTCAGTACACATAGGTCAGTAATTCTTTGAGTGAGTATCACTGGTTTAGTGATAAATTAGTCAGAATCTGTAGGTTGTTAACGAGTTGAATCAGTTTTGGCGGGTAGGCGAGTGGGTGAATTTAGTATGGTTGGGTTAGTAATATATTTATGTAATGGGTAAATAAATTATTAGACGGGCTCTGAACACTTGAACTGGAAAGTTAAAAAGGGTTAGGGTAGGAGGTAAGGTAAGATTGGGTGCAGTCAGAATGGGTAGAATGAGACAGTTGATACATGGATTGAATAATTACTCTGATGTATGAAATACTAAATGGAATATTAGCCACGTATAAATTAAAAATAACTAACTAGGAAACCAAGTAATAGTCGAGTGAATAAAATAGGATTGATGATTATTCACAGTTTTGTTTTTTAAGTTTTAAAGCAAAATTAATGGCGTTCATCTTGGCCATAAATAGTCTTCGTGAATAAGGACTAGGGATAGAATTTCGAAATAAATCTGCTTGTAAAAACATGTCTTTTTTAAACGGTAAAAATTCTCGTGTATTTCGCTGTGAAGTGAAAATATAAATTACATGGTATTCATCTTACTCTTATGCTACTTATTATACTAAAGGAGCGAAAAATTACCCTCGAGGAATCACGTGCGTCTGCATCTGCATATAGGGTAAAATTAAAAAGAAAAAAGTTCCCATGCAAAACTTTCCTCAATTAATTTTATACCCGCAAGTGAATGGAGCGACGCCTAGCGGATGATCGGCGAGTCACCGTTCTTATATTTGTAATGAAACTTACGTTTAACAATATATTTTTTTAATTATTGTTTAAACTCTGTTAGAAATTGATACATTAATGAATTGTTAAGCTAATAAATTGTGATCCACTTTTAACTTTAATACTCTATGTATTAAGATACGTCTGTACTTTACAAACGCTCCAGGCTGTGATAGTAACTGGCTTATCTACTACAGTAGATTAATTGCCTCTCGGGATTAAATTATTAGGAAGTTATTAAACGGTTTTGTTTCTCATACGAAAGAAATTTAAATATCTTACAGTCAACAAACTTAGTGTTGGACTAGTAGCATGTCTTTATATCCCCTTGCTCCTCGCCCTCTATATCTCACTCTGACATTTAATGATAATTATTTAGGATATTATTGCATGTTGAAGAAGACCTAGTTCGGAAAAGGATGTAATAGTAGTTCACTAAAAATTTGCAATTTTTTTTCTGAGATTCAGGTCTCTTTATCTTTGCATATATTCAATAAATAAATGTAATATTAGAATTTCAACTTATTTTACAGATTCACCCATTCCCCTTTTAAAGTGTTTTCTACTTCTGATAGGCGTGGCGAATCCTGTAAACGTAAGATGTCAACATTTGTTATAACTTGACACATGAATAGCGACATCGTTTAATGTTGTATAATGTAGCGAATAGACCTACTTAATCAACTGTTCTACCTACAAACCACATAAACGTGGTTAGCTATATGTCTGAAATGTAGGTGAAAGGACAGGACAATATAATAGCGTAACACGAGGATCAATGAATTCGACAAGTTCCGAGCAAGAACAGACGTTAACCAGGTGACAGGTTTATGCAATAATAAAATAAAGTGGCTTATTCAGCCATATAAACAACCTTAGTATCAAACCGACTGACAGCATTTCATTAAATAATGCAAGCAGAGGTTAATACGGTTATTTAGAAGGATTTAAAAACTTCTTTAATGCATATGGTAATAAAGGCAGAGCAGCTGTTCATGTTGTTCGTACATAATCGTCCTGGAAATCATTAAGTACTAGTTAAAATCGGTGAGAGTAGTAGTCCAAATGTATGTTTTTTAGCGGTCATTTACAAGAAAATATGAACAAAATGGTTTTTTTTCTTTACTGGTTGTAAGAGCTTTTTTTAGTATTAAAAGTAATTAGGAATTATTTTTACATTCTACAGGGACCCGTACACCAAGATTTGCATTATTCTATATTGCTAATGTGGAGGTCTGTACATATGTAGGCGTATGTATTTCTTGTTGTTAGTCATTATTTAAAGTTTCATCGTTCTGAAACTACCATGATTTTTTTTTTTTTGTCTTAGCCGTTGGCCAGTTTTGGTATTCATGAGTGCAGTATGAACACTAATTTCACGTGGGTAAGACCAGCCTTCTGTGGTTGGTCAGTAACAAAGTAAGCGATATACATGTACTCAATCTACATATTACTGTTATATGCATATACATGTACGTTGGATAAAGTAATTTTTGTTTTGCTGACTTCTACAGGTAAAATGTAAACCATAACTTTCAATAATGTTCAGGTTACTAACTCTTTGTACTTTTTGTTTTTACAGCCACTCTAAAATATGAGTATTCTTCTCTAGTGTACACGAGCATACATGACCCCTGTGACTCAACACGCAGTCACTTGCGAAGCTGCTGACAAACATACGATATATAAGTGCAGGAGGTTTTAAATGTAAACCTGTTGTCATTCTCAGATCGCAAGGCCACACCAAGTCAGTTACGAGTGTCCTCATTTATCTGCTTGTTTAGGAAAATTCGTCACGTCAGAACCGCTAATTTTTTATGCGCTTTTATGTCTGGATGTTGTTCGTGATTACTAGTTTCTCGACAATATAGACATTCAAATGTAATGAATTTTTGAGCATTTTGAAAAGTTTTTCCCGACAAAAAAAATCATTTGTAGAAGTGTAGTTTGATACTTCTGAAATTCATCGATTGATTATTCGGTAATGTCACATTTATTTATTAGTTATTAATTTTACGAAAATGTCACAAAATTCAATGTCGATGGATAATTTCAAAATTGAATCAAACGTTGCATTAAGTATAGCACCTATGTCGTGAACTAAAGGACGCTGAATTGTGGGCTCTTCCTTGTTAAACCGCGCGATGACACTGGACCTCTACAGAAGCACAATTAGCACAATTCTGGGGGGATGCTCCGCTAGTTATTGAGTGAAGAGTTTAACGATGTCTGCGTACTTTACCTAACGATAGTGGCGCCAGTCTGTGTGGTTCTGTTGTAATTATCATCAGTCAGTAACTTGCACAGACACTTATACAAAATATAGTCTTGACTTTGTTGACTAGTGAGACTGAGAAACTTAAACATTTTAAAGGTTACACATAACTTGTGCAACATTATTAACATTAATTATTTGACTAATAATCTGTAGTTTCGATGGGAGGTGAATAAGTCGAAGTAACTGAAAAGTGTTGGCAGTTATAAAATAATGTAGGTGCATAATATGTACTCTTATAAATGTGTGTGTGTGTATAAATAAATAAATAAACACATATAGTAACAAGAGAAATAAAAAAAACATTCTGACCAGGATTGGGACTTATTAGCGTGGATGAATGTAAGCAAAGTATAAAATACCAGCGTTGTTCCTCCATGTAATGTTGACTGACCGTGACGTCACTGGTAAATAGCGTGTAAGACAAAGAAATATGTTTTACCTGACAAATAACTCAACTTTTTTCTTCTTAGATTTATCTGTATAATATGAAAACTAATTGTTAGTATTATCAACTGCTCAGACTCAATTAAGCTGCTGTTATTGCGAATTTTGTATTAAAACAAATATAAGCTCGTGCTTTAGCTGAATGTGACTCGGAAATGAATACCTAAACTTGATAGAATCAGGTATTCATAAGAAAATGCATGCAACACTGAGGAAATTAGGTAAGTTGTACTAAAAGTTAAACATTGTATATTTAAATATACTTTTTTTTTAGCTGTTACTGCACGAAATCTGGTCACTCAATGAAAGTATTGTAACATGTATATCAAATAATAAAGGCAGATAGTATGCATGGAATTGCTTACAGTGCACGAGTATGTAACCAAGAAACCACACTCTATGTAAGGTTAATCGGATAGTGTAAGATATGTTGCTTTCGTTTGTTTAGATTAGTTAGGCTAGCATAATGCGATAAAGCTCTTTTGAGATATGATCAGCCATTCCTAGAAACATATGAATGGAAAATCATGTAACTCCTGTTATGTGATGAAAGGTTAAAAAAAATTGGATGTGAAAGTTATTTTAGATCAGTTGAATAGATTAAGCTTTGTATTATACCTTGCAGAGAGCAGGTCATGAATGTAGTCATTTTTTAGGATACTCTAGATATTGTTTTTATAATAGTGCAAATGATAATACAAAAAGGAAGGATAATACTACATAAAATTGTTGTTGTTATAAAAACTTTTGCTAGAAACTACCCTTTGATCATTTATTAAACTTGAATGTTGTGCAAGATTTTAAGTAAGTAAAATTAAAATATGTTAATCCATTTATCCTTTTCCATTATCCTACTGATATTTAGCCCAAATAATTAAAGTAGAATTTGTTTTTTTATAACAGAGATTGTCATTTTTAATTTGATATTATGCACGTATTCAAACATTGTTAACCTACTTTGTTCTTAGGTTTTGAATCAGAAGTTTGAAAAATTGTAGTTACTAAAAAATGAATTTCATATACTCACTAGTTAAGTGTCTTTAATGAAAATGTAAAACTAGAAGTTCTTATTATTTGTGAACATAATTAGACCAAATTTAAAATGAATATTAGTAAATCTTGTCATTGGTCAAACTTTCATAGTATAGTGTAATACATAACTGTGAGTATGTGTGCTAACTTTGTGTTGTTGGTCCTGTGTTTGTATTGTTTGACTGACATTACCTGACTCCAGCACCACCTGTTGTTGCCGGGGCAGCCAGTCCCTCTACTCGAGCAAAGCGGCGAGCTCAACGCAGACTCACTCGACACGAGAGTCGATACCATTCAGGTATGTTTAAATTGCCTGTGTTAGCATGTGTTTGGAGTGACAAGCATGGCATTGTGTTTTGTAGAACTTGTGAAGCACATTGTACTAAAAGGATTTTATGCTTAAAGAAAGTTTTTGTCTTGTATTTATCTGTCCAAAATTATTGTGTCCTATGCTTAAGTTTTATCACATGGTTCCAGATCAGTTTTGTAATACATAAACTTTTTTTTTTTTTACTTTAATAAAAATAACTGGAGCTAAATGACTTTCACTCTATTCACACACCAAGTTTCTCCATAGAACTGTACTTTTTGGTAACGTTTTATCACATGTTCAGATTTCAACTAAAGAAACTCACTTATTTAAACTTGCTTTTACCAGTTGAGAGTAGTAATATTCTAGAATAGGTTGCAGATCTATGGCATATTTGCCAAGAGTGGCACATGAGGCTTTTATGTGTGGCAATAGTAGTGCCAAATCCATTTGAAAAAATAAATCAGTTGAAGTTCACAACAAACCCAGAATAATTCCACTATCCAAATACTGCAGGTGAGGTGAACTATTTACTACAGTGTACCATTCATACAGATGTCATACCAACTTTTTGGTAGGTAGGCATTAAGCACTCAAGACACTACCAAAACTCTTGGCTAGTTAAATTTTGCCAATTTGTGTTAAAAAGAGCTCACACACACTGCTGTAGAAGGTATTCTTTCATTAGTAGTTTTGGTATGATCCAATAAAAAGAAATGCTAGCTTATCAAATAATTTTTATGTTTTGATTATGCAGGAGTAAAGCTATTTTAATTGTTTCTTGTTTATATTTGTTTTTCCCTCATAGCTCTTTCCCAACTTCCTTTCTACTACATTTGTATCATTTAGTGTAAGAAATCTTGTTTAGTGTGGTTTCCAGTTATTCCTGTAGTTGTCATTACTGTCTTGGAATTGATTGTTTTAAGCTTATTCACCAAAATGATTCTCACTTCCTTTTTCCTTCCTTGAAAGGCGACATTTAATGCTAAGCACATCCTGTAGACAGTATTCAGATTTTCTTTTTTTCTGTGTGATGTACCATTCAGACAGTACTCAGTCTGAGAATTTATGAAATTAACTCTTATATCATAGGTAAAATATCAAGTGTAGTTCCATGATTGAGTGTAATTGTTTTTAATCTTTGGTAACCAACTAGACAAAACGCATTGAAAGGGTAAGAGAAACATTGACAATTTTATTGTGTGTATACATAACTAGATATAATTCATATTGACTCATAAGTTATTATTTCTATTGTATGTATTAGAAATGAAATTCTTTTGAAATGGTTTTAGTTTTATGTGTATTTTCTGTTTTATTTAAATGCTGTAGTTGGAAGTTTTAATGTATATGAACAGTAAGTTAGCAAAACAAGCACAAGTGTAAATCATTGTTTCTCGCTCTCCATGAGGGTTTTTACAGTTATCCCTTCTATCACACCCAGACATTATTTTTTTTGTAGTGGTGATAATTTTACTTTACAGTTTAGACTTCATCAATATTTCAAACTTTCTAAAATGTTCTACGTGTTCTTTAGGTTGGATCTTATTTGTTATTAAAAGAGTATTTTAAGTTTACATCATGCTTGATCATGCTATTACAGCTTTCAGGTATCATATCTATGTTTGAAAGTACAAAAACTATTTTTCTTTAAAAATGTATGTTTTTGTGTAATTGAGATGCACCTAAAATATTAGAGGGAATTTTTTGTGAACATAATAGTTTTGCAAAAATTATGTGTTTTCAGAAAAGATTATAATGATAGCGAAAGTTATGTAATGCACAAAATTTCTAAAACCTCGAGCACTTACCAAAGGGTTGGGTTGCATTTAATACAGTATGTTTTAAAAGGTATTAATCATGATTATAGTATACTGTTAGATCTACTAACACCAACACCAAATTGATGGTTCTTTGACTTATTCTCAAAAGTTCTTTAGATATTTTGGTCACAAAACATCACAAGTTTTGAAAGAACTTGTAAACATATTCATGCTTAGAAATGAACACTATGTAAGTTTTAGGAAATAATTTCTAAATACATAGAAACTGCAATGGTGGAAGTGTGTTATGGTATTTGACTGAGATAAATGTGTTAATTATAAGATGGGCTGTTACAGGAGCACTGGATAATCAAATTAATAACAAGCTCATATTGTTCAAGGCAGCTTATTAAATATATACTTACAAGACTATTGTAAATGAACCTACAAGCCAGTAAAACATCTTTAATAATATTTCATGCAATAAATTAACTGCTATTTCATTTGAGATGCTGAAACTGAACTCCACCAGAATTCAAACAGTCATGACATTTAGGATGGAGTGCCTGACATGCTGTCACACAATTTTCAACCCTGATTTGATGGAAAGCACTTGTGAACCGTTCTTCAATTTGTCAATGGTTTTGGGTTTATTTTTAGACATTCTCCAATATTATCTGAAGTAAAGATAAAACTTTTAGAAACAATATACAGAAGCAGCATAATTTTAAAGGATGGTTTCATTTTTTGGGCCATCCTGTATATACACATATATCTACAGACGTTAGTCATATCAGTAAAATAATTTGTGTTAAAACCATACTCAGAGTTGTTGTTGTTTCACAGAGATAATTGCATTTATTATGATTATACAAGTGTTATGTTTGTGTATTAACTTTTTAAGTGACCTTAAGTTTTTATTTGGAAAAAGTTCATGTTTGTGTATTATCCATCATGTTAAAATAATGAATAATAATTAAGACTGATTATAAACAGCATTTTTGCTTGTTTAATCAAGATACCTTTAACAGTCGCTTTTTTTTGCTGGCACTAAACACATGATAAAATTATTGTATTCTAGTGTGAAAAATATATTAACATTTATTATATTGAATTAAGAATTCAAGTTAGATGTACTTATATGCTTGTACAATACTTTTAGATCCTTTTTTGACAAAGATTTTAAGGATCATTTCTAGTGTTTAAGGAATGGTAAACAGTAAAAAAACTATCTCTAAGGAAGCATGACAAAACTAATAATCAAAGCAAATTTACAATTAGTTATTGATTTCAACTTCTTGTTTCAGATATTTTAAGACATATGTATGACCCCAGTTTTCATAAAAGATGATTTTTTAAGCACATGTAAATATCTGACATTAAAAAATTAGTTGATCAATACATGCTACATTTGATATATTACAGAATACCACAAGAGCATGTTATGCCAAATATTTAATTTAATAGGATAAAAAACAGATAACCAAAAGGCTTCTCTTAATATTAAGGATATACTTTACATATGCCAGTTGCTAAGAGGTGGTTTGATGTAATACTTTCTTAATTAACTTGGGGCACTAGTAACAAAGGTATAATGAACTTGCATGGCGGAGGGTTACACATTTCTGTGGTAATTATATAATGCATTCATTTCACCAGTTTCTGACTTTGCTGCAATTTCATTATAAGTTGTTTCCTCATGAAAACAAATAGGAATGTTTCTCATATCACACTCATGCTACCTTAGTTGACACTGGAATATGAGGATAGGCAAGACTCTTAAACTAGAACAAGTTGATAAAAAGAGGACCAAAACTTCATGCACCACTGAAAATGGAAACCTACAAGTATCATTCTCTTAAATATAGGATTTCTATACATAGATACCAAGATCAATCACAACAGTTAAACTCTTGGCTAAAGGCTCCCAGCTTTTGTCCGTAATAACACCTAAATCATTACATTTTTCTGTAATGTAATTCAAAAAGTGTCCATTTATAATTTTTTGCTTTGTATCACCAAATCAATCTGCTGAATATTTATTAACTTCTTTGACAATCCAGTAAGAATCAAACTTAATAATAAGTCTATTTTTTGAGTTATGTTAGCATAGGTTTCCTTAGGCTCAAGATATATAACATCACTAAGATGCCTCCATCCAAAAATGCAGACACTGTAATAAACTCCAGTAATTTGATTAGGCAAGAAAACCCTTTTTTAATATTGTGTTGATTGCTGAGTATTGTTTGTTAAGTGCCAATTTTTACAGAAGTTTTTTTAAATGATCTCTGATAATGTATTGCAAACCCTTGCTAACATAACTTTATGGGACTTCCTTTGGTTCCTTCTTAAAATGAGTTTCTTTTGGCAATCTTCCAATAATCAGTCTTATAAAGAACTGCAGAATGGTATCTTTAATGTGCTTAGTTTTTGTGTTTCAACAAATGGTGGTTATAACAGTATACATGTAAAGATATAGAAGCAGCTTTGAAGGAGGTAATATGTGACCCAAATAAATTAGAAAGTATGTTGACCTTAGGAATAACTATTTATCAGTTGCAGTTCTCAGAACATTTGGTGTTACCTTATTTAACTGCTGATTAAGAACTTTATGTGGTACTTGAGAATGTCAAATACATGCAAGTTTTATGTATCGTAAAGGATTTTTTTGACAACTTGGTGCATTGGATTAGGTATCAAACTGAATTTTAACCTTGTGGCATTAAACATGAAATATAGTGTATATCAGTTTTGTTGTAATTTGAAACTAGTGTGAAGTATATGTGGATATAAAGATTACTAAATTTAAAGTTGGGTTCTTAAAATTCTTATAAATTATTTTTGTTGAACTTGGCCTAATCATTTTAATACTTATCATATATTTCAGTAATTTTAAAATGAAATGTTATGTGTAAAGTTTTAAAGCAAATTATTTATTAAGTTTCATAAAAATAATAGTTCAATTTTTTAAAGTAAAAATCAAATCATTCAGAGATTTGTTTGGAATAGACAAAAATATTTTTTTTTCTTGAAGACTTGTTAGCCTGTAAATTGTGCTAAAATGTTTTATTAGCAGACGTAGATTTCCCTCTGCTTATTGTGTTGATGATAAGGGCAGTTCAGTTTTTAATGTCTTTGAGGTACCTATTATATACATTTAAAATGCTTTACAATATTAAAATATTATTTCATTTTTTAATATAGAAATGCACTATAAATTATATT